ATAACTTTTAAATATCAACTCTCGTTTGCACTGAAACCACAAACTATAAAGCTGAAATAGTACAGAGCCAACAACTGATCTGGGTACAGAAATACAGAATATTTTTGGAATATACGGAGACGTACACCCACGTCTCCGTATATTCCAAAAATATTCTGTATTTATTGCAGTAAAGATAATATAACTAACAATAGGGGGTTGTTCTATTCGGTGGTGTGGGAAAAACTGTAAAACGTCCAATTACAAAACAAACGGAAACACATATCGGTCATTAAATATGTAATTTTTAAATTTTCTTCCATTGTAGCAAAGCTCAAGTCAAACTGGTTGACGGGTGTCGTCAATTGTTTCACTTCAAAACAATTGACGACACCCGTCAATTGTTTCGAGTTCAGGCTAGCCGATAGGAGCGCCGTTATCATGACATTTCGACTCTATTTCTGGTTATATGCTGGATGCTACCAGTGAACGAGCATTGAAACAAATTGTGTCAATTAACTAAAACATTAATATTTAACAGTACATAAATTTTGCTTTTGAAGTAATATTTATTTAAATAATTTGATGGCACATTATTATTATTTTTTAAATTAAAGGAACTACTACTAAAGTCTAAAAGAACGACAAGCATTAATTATTCTATACGTTACAGATTATAATTACCTAAATTAGCAAGAGAAAAACATAATTACCAATTTTTTAAACGGCTTCCAACGTGGTTCCGGGGCCGCTGTCACAGCAGCCAAAGCCAAGAAACAAGAAACCACAAAGAAGAAAATCTTAGCGAAATTCATTTTCAACAAGTATGAATACAAATTCAAAATTCGAAATCAATTCTGAGACAAATCTATTTGTAGAATGTTCTCCTTTCAAGCGCAACGTCTTTTATACGGGATAATTGACAAAGTTACATTTACATTTCAATAACTTGTACACAAACAATTTCAACTCTTAAAACGTAAGTATTAAAATCCTGTTAAACGTGTTACTCAACTGCACATTAAGGTATAGATAACGGTGTTGGACGTTGATTCGCAAAGGTAAGTCCCCTGATGCCTGGAAGAGTGTACGTCCCCAGTTGTAAACAGTTCGTATTAACTGCATTCGAATGAATCACATTAAAATATTTATGATCTTAAACTCTTCATACATTTTGGTTTGAGGAAAATCTTTTCCTGTTTTTTTTTGTGATACCAACATCACAGTAATTATATTTTAGTCTTAACATTATTTACTACAAAAGTTTAACGTGTTTCTCGATTAAAATATTAAAAATAATATTGTTAATATAAAAAAAAATAGGTAATTGTTTTAAAAAAGCGATCACAGAATAGAAATATTATTAAATTAACACATGAAAATATACTTATATGAATACGTATACGTAGATAGGGCTTTATTAGCACTTGTTCAAATATTATACTAATTACGTAAATATATAAAGAATTAAATGATAAGCTTTATTGTAAATACACATAGTCTAGTTAAATAGAGTCACTGATAAAACACATAAAGGAACACTGTAAAAATAGTAAATCCCGAAAATAATTCAGTATTTTTTTAAAAAGTGGGACCGATCGTTTTAGTATTTTATTTCAGGTCTAATTTGAAAATGAAAAATAGTGATTAACCCTTTTTCATTGAATTGATTCGGTTAATTTTCTGTTCTTGTAAATCTCGTGAACGCAAGTTTGAACAATTTTTTATTTATTAACTTTGATTTTTTTTTTATTTAAAGTGTTACATTTTTTAAATTTTAACCCATTCCTGTTTTGTCACAAAATCTAAAACAAAATTTTGTTTAATTTCAATATTTTTCAATAAAGGTTTAAGGCTGTTGAAGGATATTAATGTATTTGCTACATAATTCGTACTTATTCAAATTTAGTAGCAGTAGAGCTCCTTGCGACATAGTTCGTCCAGAGAAGTACCTATTTCTGCCGCCAAGCAGTAACGAGAGCATTACGGGTAAGGGTGCTGGTGAATTTATAGGCACTTGTCAGCGAAAGGTATTGCTGCAAAACGTCCACAAATGTATGTAACTTGGAAATGAAAATTATAGCTACATGATGCTAAAAGGATTTTCCATTCTCTCGTTATGCGACCACCGCTGACACAGAGAATAATATTGCACGTATCAAGGTTTAATTTATTCGACATCCGTTTACGGATATGTTTACTATAAGTATACATCGCACAAACTATAGAAATCTCAAATAATTCTGATCTGTCTTACATTTTCCTCACCTACGAACATTATGTGACGTTATTATACGGGGAATGATCTCGTACTAGTTTTTTAATAAAACTATATAATAGGCGGTACGTCTTTCCGAGGCTTTACCTTTACACATGATAAAAATAATACAAGCAAATACATGACAGTGAAATAAAATCAAATCTGCGTGCGTCTTTGTGTGTGTGTGTGTGTGTGTGTGTTTGTGTTTATGTGTGTGTGTGTGTGTATGTGTGTGTGTCTGTCTGTCTACGTGTCTGCGTATCTGCGTGACTGCATGGGCGTGTGCATGTGCGAGTGCGATGTGCGTGTGCGTGTGCGTGAGCGTGTGCGTGCGCGTGTGCGTGCGCGTGTGCGTGCGAGTGCGCGTGAGCGTGCGAGTGCGCGTGAACGTGCGCGTGCGCGCGTGTGTGTATGTATGTGTGGTGTGTCTGTATGTATGGTCTGTCTGTATGCTTGTGTTTATGTGCGTATATAAAAAAAGCAAGTTCAGTAGTAGTAGAGCTCTTTGTGAAAGAGTTCGTCCAATGAAGTACTGCCACTTTACCTATTTCTGCCGCCGAGCAGTAATGTAAGCATTAGTACGTTCTGGTTTCGGTTGTGTTTGGTGTGGTTAAGGGTGCTAGTGACATTACAGGCACATGGGACTCGTCAACATAATATGTCTTAGGGTGACGGCCGCAGAAGCAGTGCCTCTAAGATCTTTGCGATTTAAAGCTCTGAGTGGCACTGCTACTGTTACGGATAGGCGTGTCGCTTACCACTAGGCGCACGACTTATTCATCCAGTCACTTTGTACTATAAAAATAAATTTAAAAAAACCACTCATTTTACCAGTAAAAGTATTTTGGGTATGCTTTTGTCGATATTTAGTAAATCGATAAAATCTTATGGCATCATTTGAATAGCCTGTTGCACAACTGACTTTCTGTTAAAAGCATCTCGCGCTGGCTTCTTCAGATCCCGGCTCCTTATTAGCATTGTCATAGGTGTATTTGAAATTATTGGGCACATTATTGTTATCGATTAGTAGCTGAAATATTCGGTTGCACCTTCCTTTAATTGAACATGGTTATTTTTCATATAATTTTTGCAAGTTTAAGTTGCAATAAATAATATTTAAGTAACTTACTGCAACGTTTTAATTGTCTATTTAAAACATTGAGTACAATCATCCGTCGTCTATCGTTTTTAAACACGCAAGGATCGAACATACTTTTCTATTAGGTTTTGGATTTGAATGTTCTGGGAAGAACTATTACGATGAATTTCATCATAGTACTTAAATGAGTACCCACTACAAAATTTCTAGTTCTATGTCAAAAATTTGGCAAGCATTTATTTCAACAATAATATGTACAAATAGTTACCTCTGCTATTCGTTTGTTATATGTGGGGCGCACTATAAGTATCCGGAATGAATTAGAAAAAAATACTGTAAATAGTCAGAAATGAATTTATTGTTTCTCAAATTATTTTCCGTTAGCGTTAATGCACTTTTTCATACGAATGAAAAAGTGAAAACATTTATGCCACTCCTCCGTGACAATCTCTGAAACATATTTTTCACACTCTTCGACAGCCTCTTCAGGTGATGAAAATCGTTGACCGCGTCACTGGTTCTTAATTTTTGGAAATAAATGAAAGTCACAAGGTGCCAGGTCGGGATTGTACGCGGGATGGCTCATAAGGTCAATGTTTTGTGTTCACTTTCAAAAATTCATTTGTCTGTCTGGCCGTGTGAGAACTGGCATTGTCGTGATGTAAGATGATACGGCGTTTACGGTTATTTTTACGGAGTTTGTCAATAACTTCCGGCTAACAAATGGTCGTGTACCAATCACTATTTACGGTATAACGATTCTCCAAAGCAACAGTAGCCAAGTGTCCAGTTTTATTTAAAAAAGAAACAATCATCCGCTTAGAGGCACTTTGCACGCTCGCCACTTTGGTTGGTTTCGGCTCATCACGAAAGACCCATACCCTCGATTGCTGCTTTATTTTGGAATCGCAACTATAAATCCATGTTTCGTCACCTGTTACTATGTTTCGCACCAAATTTGATGCCCCTTCGTTGAGTCTGGTAAGCAAGGCCACCAAGTGACCCGATCCGTTTTTTGAGTCAAATTGTATGGGATCCACCGAGAGTACAGCTTTTTCACACCCAAATGTTTGTGTAGTATTTGACTCATGCCTATGCCTAAAGATGCCCGAATCTCATGGTATGTCACATGCCAGTCTGTTTTAATCATACGGCCTGTGCGCCGTATGATTAAAACCGCATCGATGTTTTTATTGTCCACAATAGTAGAATTTCATGATGAATTTCATCACGAAATTCGTCACTTAGATTCACACGACCGCGTTTGAAATCTGCAAACTAGCTATAAATAGTCGTCTTGCATGGTGCTTCATTGCCAAAAGCAGTTTGAAGCCAAGCGAAGCTCCGCTGAGCAGTTAACTTACACTTAAAGTCGTAGAAAATCACACTACAAAAAATTTCACAAGTTAAAACCATGGTGATGTAGACAACCAATTTCTAAAATGACGCCACAATGTAAAAACAAGTAACAGTCAGATGAAACAAACTGTGTTCTATAGCCAAAGGGTTCCATTTTCAAATGTTGTAATTACTTTTTAAATATTGTTTATGTAAGTGGCCAGTTCCGGAAACTTATCGTGCGCCCTATGTATGTAATTGATAGGTATATAATGTATCGTAAACAGTTCATTTGATTTATTTAAAATAATTAAGAGGTTTACATAATACAGAAAGGAGGCGGTTCCTAATTCGATTGCATTTTTTTTGGGTGTATTTTACATGATTACTCGCGAACCGATTTTATGAGTCTTTTTTTTAAAGATCTCAGTATTGGTCCCATTTCAATTTAAAGGAAATATTCCACTTCTAAGGGTGCCAAACTAGAGATGAATCTGGTTTTGCGCTCTTATCGTTAACCGATGTCAATAAAACTTGGCAAATAGATGTAATTCCAATAAAAAAACCGATAAGCAAACCTATTAAGATCGGTTTTTTTTTAAAAAAAAGGTCATCATATTCTTTATTCTTGTGACACATATAATAACATAAGCTGAAGTATTGGACCCGACTAGTAAGGAATTCAAAAATAAGTTTCATACGGAGCATGCTCCAATTTCAATTGTTCGGACAATATCCCAGGGGTTAATATTTTTTTATATATTATATTATACAAAATATATGGACTCTGTTATGGTGCAGTTTGCTAACAAATGGGGCTCAATCCAAAATAAAAATCCAAAAATTATTGTTCTTCGTCACAAGTCAAAAACTCAGGATCCTTTTCACAAATGAATTGCCCTCGACGGTGGCACCAGAAGTCATCGAGATAACCAGATCGGAATAGCCCTCCACAGAATTCAGTGCTCAAGTTGTTGGGCTCTCCACCAGAGAATTTGCTGTATCCTGCATCTATAAGTGTGTCCCCTGAAAAAGTGTTTACACATTAGTAAAAGTATTTTGTTTCACTAGCCGTTACTTCATAGTTTCTTCCCGGAGGGGACCTGAGCATTGGAACTTGCACACATGGAGGAAAAATATGTATACTTTAAATTCAAACCTACTTACTCTATTACGTCACTTCACAACTATAGGTCATTTTGCGAATAGGTCCTATGTCGACCAATCTTTAATTAATAAATATATAAACGATAGATCAAACACGTCAACGAAGAAAGAGCCAGGAAACTTTTACCTAAATGAAATTATGTGATTAAAAGTTAAAAAATTAAGTCATGAGCGAAAGTTTACATGTTCCTGTATTGTCAGTTTCATCCGCTATATACTGGTAACTGTTGGTGTTCATTGCTTTATTTTTGTACCGTTTACATCTTTCAACGTATTTTTGTATAATATAGCAGAAAAACCTACAACTCTTACCGTGAATAGTAACCCATTCTCCATGTTCGTCCCAATCATGGAACCCAATATGGGCGCTTATAGTCTCGTACGCACCATTGTTAGGAATACTATGTCCCATTTTTCTAAATAATTCACTCATCGCTTTTGCCTCGACTTCACTGTTGATGACTACAAGGTATCCACCTTCGGCAGCACAGGTCATGTAAGCTCGAGACCAGGTACGAGGGAACTGGTGGAACTTGTAACAACTACCGGTTCTTTTGTCCAGAACGTAGGCTGAAAGTGAAGACAATTTCTTCAAACATAACACTTACAAATCAAATGACTCTGAACGAGGAGGTTGCTGTGATGTAAATGATTGATTAAAAAACCAACGTGGAATTGTAATAAATGCTGATTCTTATTCTGCTACCTAATTACCTATTTAAAAACATAGCCAGGTCTTGATAATCTATTTTATTCGTGGGTAATCTGATATTTTCTAATAGCACATAATTAATATATTCTATCATTATTCTTTGTTTTACATCAAAAGGTAAAACAAACACTTGAGATTTTCAAATTATAAAAGCTTTTCTAGTGCAATAGACAAAATTGTCTTACATGGATCCGGTGTACCGCATTCAGTCATAGACATGCCCGGAGTAACCTTCTTATAACATAAGTACGGAAAAGCCTTTGAACATTTCATATCAGCAAAAGTGCCATCAGCGAGCATTACTAAGCATTGTTCTTCGTCATTCTCGTTGTCGGGTTCGCCCATGGCCCAGGTGTGAGGGATCTTGGCAAGAGGAACACCTAAAAATAATTTTCATATTTTTGTACCGTAAGTTGTTTCGTACCAAATAGTTTGAAAGTTTTCTGTGATTGCTTGGCAACATTTCACAAAGATTTTTGTTTTCTTTAAAAAACAATCTTCCAATAAGGAACTAAAACTTAGCTTTTGGCGCCTTCAAATGACGGTTGTAGAAGCACCGCAGTGGCACGTCTTTGGTCTACGACTAATTTCCATACAATATTATTTAGTTTGCAAAAGTGGCGGCGCGCGCGTAATTTAACTGTGGCGTTGCAACTGCGCTTCTAAATATTGTAAGAAAATTAGTAGTGGCGCACTTATTTGATATGATGGAAGGTACCTTCAACTGAAAAGTAGTCGCCTCTAGAGAACGTACTATGAATACCCGTAAATACAGAACTACTGATGTTTGATAGCTCCAACATTGCTTCCCTGAAACTGTCATGCAGAGGAGAAGCTAGCTTTGTACCTGTAAAGTAGAATAATTAAAACGCTTGCAAAATTTTAGGAGACATTCCATAAAAAGGGCCATATTCGCACATAATAAATATACAATAAATACACACAATAAACATACACACAACACAATAAATCAGCCATAGAAACAGCACTACGTTTACAATTTATAGCACAGTATCTTTTACTCAAGAAAAATCCTTTCAAATGGCGGATTATTTTTTAAATCGAATGGATTCGTTTTGTCACTCCCGCACTTACACCAAATATATCCTATGAAATGCTGATAGTTGTGCTACACTACAAAGGTGTTCAAGGCCTAGAAGATTTGCTTCCGTGAAATGTGTGTTAAACAAAGCAAGTTAAAAGCGTATGGCAGACTGAAGTGGAGACTCATTTATGCCTTAACTATTGACAAATTTAGAGAAGTGTACTACCTTCCAGATGACATCTGAGTCTGGCTTCATGCCAATTGGCTGGTATTTCTTGATACTTCAAATATCCGTTAATACTTTCAAAGTATTTATAATCACATCGAAACCTGCAGGAATCTGAAAAATATGTGAAACTTGAACTGATTCAATTTCCATTATTATTTTCATTATTATTATTTCGAAAAAAGAAATCAGGGGAGCGTTTTAGGTTTTAACAGCCGTTTTGTAATACTTAAACTGTTAGTAGTTTAAGTATTACAAAACGGCCGTTAAAACCCTGTCTTGTTTTAAAATTCAATTATAAAACTATTTTTTATTTTAAACAGTCGAAACAATATACTTACACGTACATTTGTCTGTGCTAGATATAAGTGTAATGTAAAATAAAAGTAATGTAACACCAGAAAGAAATACAAAATTTTTCATATTTATAAATTTCTATACGATGTTGACTGTTACACTGTTTTCTTTACAAATGAAGAATGCAACAATTTTGGAATTTTTTAAATGTGATAAGATATCAAAGGTTATATTTTGTTTATATAGATTAAGTTATTGTGCTAATTTATTTATCGAAACCCAACTTTGTGACTGTATAAGGTCGGAAGGCCAAAGCAATTTATTCGTTTATCTCATCAAGTTATTACAACAACTATAAAAGTGAGCCATAATGATCGAATTCTCAGACTTCCACAATTGCTATATAATGGAAAATAAACAATTTTTTTGGATATAGATAGCGTATATTTGTTTTTTTAAAACAATGAACAAACCCGACCCGAAACAAACAGATCCGAAACGATGATTTGCTTTAAAAACAAAAATAAGTTATTTAGATCCGAAAAAATAGTTGCATTTCCAATTATAATAGTGCATTTCAAGTAGGACGGAAATTATGTTATTATAATTTAGATGAGACTGTGTGTGTACCCAAGCGACAGGCGAAATTTGAAGCGTCACGAGATGCTAGACACAAGGGTAGCACACGTTTTTCAATATAGATAGCATCTTATTTTTCGCAATATAATTGTCTCTTTATTGCGAAGAAAGGCGACCAAGTATTTATTTGGTTTGTGAAGGCGAGTATCTAGTTTTTGCAACTTGCGTTTGATAGGGTGCAGTTAATTTTTATTGGTAGCAGTAGAGCTCTTATTGAAAGAGTTTGTCCAAGGAAGTATTGCCACCTTACCTATTTCTGCCGCTAAGCAGTAATGTGACCATTACTGCGATGCGGTCTTAAAGGGTGCTAGTGAAATTACAGGCACATAGAACTTATCAACTTATGTCTCAGGGCGATGTGCGCAGTGGCAGTGACCCTCAGATCTTTATGTTTTGAAGCTCTGAGTAGTTACCACCAGGTGCACGACTTGTTTTCATAACAAAAAATCCATAACATCCACCAAATCTTATTTTTTATATAGCGAGTGATAAGATAAAATTACCTTTAGAGCGCCTTCAATCTATCAACAGCAGCCCTGCTCCTATTAAACAATATAATTAAATTCGTTGTCCTGCCAATAGATGGCGTTGCTTTGTAAATAATATTGGTGACGACTGGGTTTCGTTGTTATGATTGTTATTAATTAATGTGGATTGCCATATAGCAAATATAATTTGATATATAGTAAATATAATAATAATAATTTTAACGAATTATCGTTAGGAACTATGGGATGTGAAATCAGCCTGCAAAATTTGTATATACAATCCATTTTTAGCATTTTAGTAACTTTGTGCTTTAAGATACAAGTTTGAGAAAGTGAGACGACGATAAGTCATTTATGTATATCAGGAATAAGGTTGGTCCTAACACACTCCCTTGAGGTACGCCATATGTTGTTGTTGCATAAGTATCCCCACTCATGTATGGTCCCAACTTTACCCTCTGCTTTCGATCAGCTAGGTAATCCTTAAATAGCTGCGGAGTATTACTCACGACATCCAGACAGGGACCAATTTAGAACAGATTTTTCCTTAATAGGTCATTCTGAACCTCTTCGCCTAGCACCCACGGTGTTAATCGCTAGGCCATCACGGTCATCAAAATAAGATAAGAAAGCGTTTATAGACAATGTGCAGTTTATTTTGTAAAATGACGGAGGCGTTTTGCAATAAATCGGATTTCTCACTTAGTAACTCCAGGCAGACTGAGGCAAATTACACGGTTTTCAATTTTCCTTTGTTTTTCTTAGAACTAGAAAGTCACTGTATTATTATAATTTAAATAAGCAGACACGAGGAAAAGTTAATTACATAGGCCCAAAGCAATTTTAGAAAGGGAATCCACAAAATTAATAAGTAAATCTGTATTTAATTGAAAATGTAAAGGGTATCTAGTGACATGCTATGTCGCAATTTGTATAATTATTAATATTTTGAGTACATTGAGCATTCCTTAATGTAATGTACGTAATGTTATTGCACCGTGATCAGGTCGTATTTTGCACATTGCGCTGTATAATTGTATCATACTCGAACAAATGGTTATTGAAATGTTACTGTTGAAAACAGTTATATTAGCGTTTATTATTCAATTAGATTAAGTTGTTATATACATTTTTATATAACAACTTAATCTGAAAAGTTAATATTTTTTTTGTGAAATTACTCCACTAGTTTATTATAATTATTAATACAAAGATCGAACACTTAGAAGAACTTCCTTCGATCCGGCCGAATTCGCCAGATGCCAGACGCTATGCCAACTAAGCCACGAAACGAACCAGCGGACCTCACGAATTCTTCTGTGTGTTTGTTGTTGTATCTTTGTATTTGGTTTTTCAACGGCTTTTTAGCCGTAGCGCCATCTATGAGAAGAGTATTTTCGTCACCCAGTTAGATACCTTTACAGCTACCAGTCCCAGCTAGAGATGTCGCTATTCATTGTATTTAATTTTTGTTTGAATTGATATTCAATTATTTTTTTAAGTTGTCAATGTTATATTATTTTTTTATGGCAGCCAGTACGCCTGAGCCTGTGTCAGTTTTATAAGACTAATATAAAAATTATGGCGATCATCGCCAGTGTCAGTGACTAAGAAAAATAAAAATAAATTGATATTTTACTTTTATATCGATGTGGCCAATTATTAAGAAAGTGTAAATGTCATTTAATTTTCGTGCGAACGAAATTTCTTAACGAATTTGAATCGTGGTAAGAAACGTGCGAAACTTCGATTGCAATTTCGTTTGTCGTTGAATTAGAGTAGACATCCAGCCATCTGCTATCATCTTTCGGTATTATTGTTGGTCATTAGGCTGTATAGCCTAAACTATTCCTCTATGTTGATTGGCAGTTTTGGCGGGAAGAAATGATTAAGGATGTTTCGTTCGTGTTAAACTATTTTTCCGGATTTAAATCGCGCATATTTGTTTTTTCAAACAAACCGACATTTCGGGCCCTTTACAGGTCCCATGGTCACCCGTGATTCGTGGTCAGTCAACCGTGACCATGGGACCTGTAAAGGGCCCGAAACGTCGGTTTGTTTGAAAAAACAAATATACGCGATTTAAACCCGGAAAAATAGTTTCATTTCCTATGTGTAACAATCGCGAAAACCTAAGAACTCGATATAAAATATCTAACTTTGCACACCATTTTAATGGAGATATTACTCTTTAAACACTACAAAGAACTTGTTAGATTTTGGTTTTCAATTGAAGCCATATAATCATTAAATTCACATTTATATCCCAAAATTTGAAAATTGCCCAGTGGTTTAACGACATGCTTGCTACTTCGTTAGGTATAGTGTATCATCTATGGTCACCATCGAGCACTTGTTGAAGCGTATCTGTGACAAATTTTCTCCGTCCATTCTTATTTTATTCATATTATTTAATTTTTAGCGCGCGAGTTGCGGGATACGAGAATCGGTCCGCCACACTTCACCTCCCAAAATGTAGGCTCGCCTTGAAATAAAGGTCAAAGTGGCACTGGTATAGGCAGGCGTGTAGCTTAACACCAGGCACACAACTTTCTCGTCTCGTCATTTGGTATCACAAAAAAACCCTTAGCCATTATAACACAATGGACTATTACAGCGCTTTACACTAATATCAGGATTAAAACTTGTTTAAGAATGTGAATTAGAATTTTACAAACTACTCTATTGCCTTAACATCCAGATTTTGAGAGATTTGAATGTCTTTAGGTGGAGAAAGAAAACAGAAGAATGACTTGATGAAAACATACTTTATTTACATTGAATAAATTATTTATAAATTAATACATTTGTAAATTGTAATGGAATGGTGAAGACCTTTAGCAAACCAGAACACAGCTGTATGATGTAGTTCGATGACCAAGTATTATAAATCGGGAAAAACAATGTAGTAGCAGGGAAACTATTTTGTAATATTATTATGGTCTAAGAGTTAAACGACCATAATCTGATAATAGAAGATATGCAGTATTTTAGGGACCGGCTTCTATGAGTAGTAACAAAAATCTTTAGTAAAAAAATATTCTCAAACAAAATTTTGCTTTTTTGTTCTATGGGCTATGGGAAACCAGAAAAAAAAGGAAATTCCCAATTTTGTTTTCTTCGTGACAGTATGTACGTGACACCCAAAAAATGTCACGTTTGTTATAATATAAGATACGATGACTAGTTAAGTATGGTGAAACTTTTTAGTTACACCTGTAGATAATATTTAGATACACCTGAGAACTATCTACAGGTTCTAATAAACGTCATCGGCGTCGATGTCCAGTAAATGACGTATTTGCTACTGGTTCTGTAACTACAGTTGGTTCTACACTTGTATTGTGACATTCTGTTGGAGTTTGGTTGTTCACTAACGATGATAATGACTTTAAATTAAATGATTTGACGTTGGTTAAACCAGACTTGTTGCTTATTAACCTTGTTTAAGAACACCTTGAGCATCAGATATAACGGACACAGCAGGGCCGACTTTGATGACGCCGTCTCGAACTCGCTGGCCTAGTTTCTCCTGTAAACCAAACAAAAGAAGGTAGGTTGAGAACAGAACAAACAACCTTATTGATAAAAGAAAGCAGTTGGCTATGGTCGGGCAAGTTCAGTATTGCTTATAGATAGACGGACATAATGATCTTATACACAAGATATGTTACGTTCATAGAAATTGACGTTCGAAATCTGTTCCACCACAACACACAGAAACTTTTTTTTAATTGTGCGTCATTAGAATTGACAGGTTGACAGGTTATAGGTGAATGTGATTATGATTTTGTCGAACAGAGTGAACATTCTAAAAAGAAGGTAATATGTAAGAACAATAGAAAAGAAAAACAATTTTATTTTGTTATCAAACCAAAAAACATATATTGGATCTATTTCCGCCAAATAATAAGTTTAACAATTCAAAGGGGCAATGTCGCTAGCCTTCTGGGCACGATGCCCCAGGGTCCGGCCCTCGACGACATTTTCTATTTATAAACTTTTTTTTTTTTTTATGTTATCTAGCTGTTATAAGTGGTTTAGATATGTGTAACTGATAGATAATAATTTAAAAAATGGTTTTATTTCTTAAGGTTTTTCAATAATAATTTGCCACTGTTACATACTTATAATAGAATCATCTAGTTTTAATTTTGATAAATTTCAATAAAATGACGCAATTCTAGAAATATCAGGTTCGTCTCTTTGATCGACGCAGATTGATTGTAAGGTCGGTTTATTGACTGAGATTCGAATCTTCACTACGCAGGCTCAAGTAACACATTTGCCTTTTTTTGTATATAAGATCGTTGCATAGACATAAAAAAAAACATATCATATTAGACACAGTAGTTCAAATTTATTTGATGCAGGTATTGCATACACAATGACGCGTGGTGGCAAGGACAAGATTTAAAAAAGCACGACGTCTGTTATCACTTAATTTGAATTCACCATTTTTGCAACGCGTGTGCACTTACATAGGACGAAATTTTAATGTTCCGAGACGTCATAAAGTCCTGTTCTCGGAATATTTTTCTTATCAAGTCGCTATTAATTATTTAGTTCGTTCGTTACGTGCAAGTCGCGACAATATCGACCTCGGTAGTCTAAATGTTATCACTCCCTAACGTTAAATGAGATGGTTACGTGTTCGATTACCGGCAGGACTATTTTGGAAAACGAACTTTTCTAAACTGGTTTTGATCTGTGTGTTCTAGGTAGTGCTCATAATACAGGAGATTATATATACGCAACACACGGACATAATAGTCACAGAAAACAGAAATCAAGATTGTGAAGAAATCTATTAATAATTAATTGATTAAAATATTTGTATTTAAAATTAAATTAATTAAATCTCTTAAATGGCACAAACGCTATCCGCGAGGTGTCAATAGAATTTGTGGCAGTCGCAGACTTCTTCCGTGGTGGCAGTCGCAGACTTCTTCCGTGGTGGCAGTAGAAGAGGCAGAAGCATTTATATTGTAATATAATGTTAGATGAATAATAATAATATGCTGGTGAATTACAGGCGATAAAACAAAAACGATAAAAACTCTTCTAAGATGCATATATACATATATAGTTGCATATATTTTCTTTACAACTTGTAAAAAAAATAGCAACAGAAATAAATTCTTACCAATTTTCTCAATGGCTTCCAACGTGGTTCCGGGGCCGCGGACACGGCAGCCAAAGCCAAGAAACAAGAGACCACAAAGAAGAATATCTTAGCGAAATTCATCTTTAATAAGTATGAATTCAAATTTCAAATTTCAAAATAAGAACTCAACAAGAGACAAATATCTTTGTAGAATGCTGTCTGTTCAAGCGAAAAATCTTTTATACAGGATCTTTGACAAAGTTACATTTCTATCTGAATAAATTCAGTACAAACAATTTTAACTCGTAAAATGTAACTGTTACAGTTCAGTTATAGTGTGGGTTAAACGTTTTACTGAATACGGTATAGATAACGGAGCCGTATGTTGTATGCAAGCAAAGGTAAGTCCCCTAAAGCCTAGATCTCAGTACGTCCCCTGACGTAGACGGTTCATAATTGATTGCAGTTTAATGAATCACATTACAAATATTTACTATGAACGTAATACTTTGATATCGGCTAATTTAATTCATAGACTATAAAAACCTCTCTCCTAAAAAGTTGTAATTTTACAGATATGGTTTGGTTAAGAGAACTATGAGTTACGAAATTTCACATCAAATTTTTTTATGTTATGTTACGTTTTCCATTATTATTGCGAACATTTTTACACGAAATTAAAACCACATGGGACTTGTTATCTTTTGCCTCAGGGTGACGGGCTCAGTGTGAGTTCCCCTAAGATCATTGCGGTTAAAAGTTCTAAGTGGCATTGCACCTGTAATATGCCTTTTTAAATTATATTTAATTTTGTAGCAGTACAGCTTCTTGTGAAAGATTTCGTCCATTGAAGTACTACCACTTTACCTATTTTGGTCGCCCAGCAGTAATGTGCGCATTATTGCGTTTCGGTTTTGAAGGGTAAGGGTGCTGGTGAATTTGCAGGCACATAGAACTTATAAACTTATGTCTCAGGGTGATGGGCGCAGTGGCAGTGCCCGACCGTCAAATCTTTACGATTTAAAGCTCTAAGTGGTCTCGCTTCCCGTCACTTGGTATTATATAAAAAAAATTCACCAGCACTCTTGCCCTTCCAAACCTGAACACAATAAAATGACCATTACTGTTTGACGGTAGAAATAGATAAGGCACCAGTGCTCCTGGACGAACTCTCACAACGAGCTGTACTGTTACTAATAAAATCATTGAAATATTTCGAATAACATAGATTTTGTTATGTAAATAGATATACAACGTATCCAACCTGCATTGGCCGGCTTACTGGCTTAATATGGCGTAAACCCTTACCTTAGAAGAGGTGCATGTCTAATGGTATTTGTATGGGTTGACGTTATTTTTTTCTTTCTAAAAATTTGATCGCCCATTTCGGTCAAAGTTTCGTTTTCGAAATATTTATTATAACCAACAAAATACGCAGAATCCGAAAGGAAAATTATTTATTACTTTATGAAAACCAATCACTTCCACCAGTCACTTATTTGGTGCATTATAATAAAAAAAACAATCATTTTTCAATGTGTCTATAATTTACAGCTTAGAAAAGTTTAAAATATAGAATGCAAGAGATTGAGATCACAAAAGTGACGACCTCTGTGACGCAATAACTAAGATGTGAAAATCCCAAGTTCGATTCCCGATAAAGTCAATTTGGGCAACGAACTTTTCTAAATTAGGAAATGAAACTATTTTTCCGGATTTAAATCGCGTATATTTGATTTTTCAAACAAACCGACGTTTCGGGCCCTTTACGTGTAAACCTCACTAACTGTAAACCTCAGTCAACCGTGACGGACTTCTTTTGCAAGGAAGGCTCCTTGCAAAAGAAGTCCGTTATCTACCCAGGATGCATGCTGCGAGAGGCCATTGAAATTAAAAAACATTCTAATTTCAACAGGGAAGATGGTTTCTCCGCACCACCAGTTTAGGATCCAGTATTTCCTCTGATGGAAAATCCCAAACAGACATAAGACTACAGTAATAATTAATATGTTTTAATTTATTCTAATTTCCATTATTAATTAATAATAAATTTTATTGAACATAATAAAAATAACTTCAATAAAATATTTTGTAAAACTTAATGTAGCGTAAATTGGAATGTTTTCTTTGTAAAATTAAAACTAAGGTATTTAAATTAGTAACTATTGTAACTATAGTGAAAAATAGGATGGTTTGCATTAATATTAGACATAACTGGTTGAAGACTGTACCACCTCAGTCAACCGTGACCATGGGACCTGCAAAGGGCCCGAAACGTCGGTTTGTTTGAAAAAACAAATATACGCGATTTAAACCCGGAAAAATAGTTTCATTTCCTATGTGTAACAATCGCGAAAACCTAAGAACTTTTCTAAATTAGTAATGGTCTCGGTGGTCTAGTCATAGTACAGCGAATTCCTTTTTTTTATCGTAATTTTTTTACAAGGCACCTAATAAAGTACTTACATTATAAATAAAATAAAAAAATGTAATAAATATTACAATCTAGCTAAATATAAGACTAATAAGTAAATTTTCATCACACTGACCTTGACCGCAATGGTCAAGCATGGCCCCAAATAAAACCCTCGGGCCGCTTTTCTTCCCATTACTGCCATAGTCGGTAAAGAGTTTTTTTTTTATTTGTAGCACGACGTTCTTCCCTAGATAGGTCAGGTTCAAATACAAGCAAGGAGGTTACTTAAATTCAAAATTAAAACATTCGCTGAAATTGTTATATAAACAGAAATATAATTGCAATTCAGCCACATACTACTTAAATACTTATTATTAAGAATTTCTTATAATTGTTATCAATTAGTTTCTTTAAAAGTTCCTATAAAATTTTTTGCGACTTTACTTTTTACAACATTTTAGTTCGAGTTATATTATCTATGGAAGAATAACTAGTTGGCCATCTTGATGACAAAAACAAAACAAAAACCTGCTATTTGCAAAATCCATAATTGTTGTGTTGTGAACCATATTTAGTCATACCAAAAACAAATATTCATTTCGTCGGAAATATGATGAAAGACATTGTATGTATCACGGACAGTAAAAAACAAAACTCTAGTTATTAAAGCCCTCAGCCAGAGAGGGTTTAATCGACCCTCGTTGTCATGTACTATTACATTTCATCTTATCTAATAAGTAAACAAATTAAGCTAAGAATACATCCACCGTCAATTTTCTTATCACCTTTTTGTTCAATGTCACCAGCTTTGCTTCATTTAATCCTACACTCAAACAGCTCTAGTTCAAATATTTTCGTCAATTCTCCGAAAGCATAACATAATTAACGTTATATCAATTGTGTAACTTACAAACTAGATAAGAGCCAAATAACAGTACTTGTACCATGAGATTACTGTGACTATTGTTGCTAACGATCGCGCAGTCTAATTGACAATTAAATTGTTTAACGTAAAATTTTTATGTAGCAAATTGCACAGTGCCCTCTAATAGTCACAAGAAGAAATAACATTTTCATCACACTTGGTCGTAAACAGTGTCATGACATGCAAGCAAAGTCGACAGCAATGTCCTAAATTATGTCCACGGGCTTTTTCATTACATTTTCGCCTTATGGATTTTTTACGTTAACAGCAAACAGTTTTTATGCTCGAAAAATCTGAACATATATTTCGCTTAAACTTGAAGTACAAAAAAAAACTATTTGCAATTTAACAATATTGCACTAAATTTATTTTGTGAATTCAATTTCTGCAGTATATTTTAGAATTTGGAAATTTTTTTGAAGTTGCGTGCGTCTCTGTCTTTTATAACATTTTACTTCCAATTGTATTATCTATGGAAGAATAGCAAGCAAAACCCGTAATTATTGTGTTGTGAAACGATATTTATTCATACAAGAAATAAATTATCATTCTATCTATTTCCTCGCAAAAGTGTGTAGCACGGGCGCTAAAAATTACAAACTTCGAGTCATTAAACAAACTCTTGTTAGTAATTTCTTATTTACCGCCCAATACACAATGTGCTATTTACATATAAATATTATGCGCGGTCGCTGCTTCGAGAATTCCTATATCTATATACAAATAAAGATCATTATACTGTGTACAAAGATTTATACACACGTATATAAGATCATTGGCTATGTACAATTTCTGTATTCAAATACCGTTCAGAGTAACGTAAATTGGGCCTTAATCTTCTCGTAGTACTTGTATGATCTTGATCATACTTAAGCTGAATATACTCGACATTCCCGTGACGGTGAAGTTTGCGTTGGTGGACTTCGAAGTATTTCTGCACAATCTTGTCTACGTATTTCACAACCAAGTCTCGATAAAAACGAAAGAATTCCCTAGCAAGCGACTAGATCATTGTTGTTCAGGTGTGGTATATTATTACTTTTATTGTTGTGTATCGAAGTAGGGGTGCGCAGAGTGACAAATTGAAACGCCTAATTGTATTAAGTGGTATATTTCGACGACTTGCGTATATATACGTATAACAAAAATAGTTAAAGCAGATTGTACTAAGGACTCAACCTTAGTCGCTCACGCGATACATGCAGCCGTAGACGCATACCCCACCAAGAGCTGCCGGTAATGATTTTATACCGATTTATCGGATATCGAAGTTATAACAGGTAAAAGAACTAATATTAATTGCTATTTCGGTAACTACTCTAGCAAACCATAAAGTTTTTAATGCCTGGGTCTGTCATTTAAAAAAAATAAACAACTTCAAAAATACGTCACGACAATCGTGTGTGTTATTGTTTGGGCTGGTGATTTCGGTGTTTATTTATTGAAAACATACCGTAAGTAGGGTTTTTTAAGTTTACCCTGAATATAAATGTTTATAAACTATACTTTAAGTAGTAATTTCATGGTAAACGTTAGAACCACTCAAACGGAATATTATTATATATAAATATAACCAAGTACACCGAAAATTTCATTAGTGCTTTTTAAGTGCGGAATTTGCGGTATGTTACTGCATTTTATTTGAAATGTTTTTGTTGGTAGTACGGAGGGTATTTATTTAGCAATGCAGAATAATAATTTTTATTTATAAAAACTTGTATTTAAACTGAATCCTTTTCTATTTTGCGAAACCAAATAGCCGCCATTTTGCGGTAGGAGGAGCGCATCGCGTGAGCGGATAGTATAATAAGTCAA